TTAATAATAATAAAAATAAAAATAATGTTGTTGTTGTTGGTATTGATAATAATAATAATAATAGTAATAATAATAATAATTTCCTGTTATAGTCTAAGCCGCCTCCTCTCATTATTTCAGATGAAGACTCTTTCCGTATTCAGCACTCGAGCACAGGAAGCTGTGTGGACGTGASCCTGGCAGACTTCAGCCTGGCCCCCTGCAACAGGACCACCCAGCTGTGGAAGTGGGGCTCGGGTCACCGGCTCTTCCACGTGCACTCGTCCCTCTGCCTGGCGCTGGACGTGCGGCAGAAGAAGCTGTCTCTGGAGGACTGCGGCTCCAACGGGTCGCTGTCGTGGCGCTGCCAGGACGGAGCCGTGTACACCGCCTACGACATGGTCCTGACGGTCAGCGGGGGGAAGCCGGGGGTCAAACGGAACGCCGGCGAGAACTGGTGGAGGGCGGGGTCCCGGGAGAACATCTGCCACCGAGCTTATCGAGGTACGCAACACGAACCGAGGCTCGGAGCTTCAGGAGAGGCTGGAGAAGAAGATTAAATTAATCTGAATGGATTTTAAATTAAATTTGGTGAAAGCGTCTCCATCTCTCTGAAACACGAGATCTGTGAACGGATCAGGAGGAACCAGAGAGTCCAGAACCCATCTGGTCTGACCTCAGCAGGTTCTGATGAGTCTTTATTAAACAGAATCTGGTTGAGGTCATGACCTTTGACCTGCTGGCCGAGGCCTTCAKGGTCTGAGGTGGAGCTCGTTGCACAGTCTGACCTTCAGGGTGAATACCTCTCTGTAGAACGATGGACTCTCTGAGGTCGTCCCACCTTAGCGTTGCAGGCAGAGGTGGTCCCACTGAGGAGGACCAGCAGGTCCTGATCCAGTTCTTGTTTAATAAATAAGGACCCGGCTGACAGGATCAGGTTTCTGACGTCCCAAAACTCTAAAACTGAAGAACTTTCCGCAGCAGCCGAAAAAGATTTTAGCTTTTGCTTCAAACAGATTTCAGAAACAAAAGCTGAGCTGTCAATCAAATGCTCCTCCTGCAGGTGAGGTGTCGGTCAAATTCCAGATGAATGTGTCGCTTTATCTTTCAGCTCTCATCTTTAGCTGTTCTTTTATCTAACAAAATGCTGCCTAGTAAAACAATTAGCAAAAGGCTAAAAACAGCTAAAAGTAGCATAAGGCTATTTAAAAGCAACAAGGAGAAAATAGCTAGCTGAAGGGTAAAAATGGCAATAAAACATAAAATAATGCCCAAAAGCTAAAAGCAAGGCTAGCTTAAAAACTAAAACTAGCTAATTTAAAGCTAAATGGTTTTAAAAATGAGTCAGAAGCTAAAAGTAGCAGCTAGCTGAGAGGTAGCCAAAAATAACAAATGGTTGTTTAAAAGCTAAATGTTAAAAATATTAAATGTCCCGTTAAAGTCTCAAACAGCGAGTCAGAAGCTGAAAATATCAAAATGTTTGAGTAAAATCTGAAATCAGAAAATGTTTAGAAGCCAAAGAAGCGGAACAGTAGCTAAAAGCTAAAAGTAGCTTAAGAAGACAGAAACAGTGAGTTTTCTCAAGCAGATTTTAAAAGAGAACAAAGTTTTTAAAGGAACTGAAGAAAATTAATAACTCAGTAAAAAACACCAACCAGCCAAAACATTATGACCAGTTCAACCAGCCAAAACATTATGACCAGTTCAACCAGCCAAAACATTATGACCAGTTCGGCTGTTTAAGCTGCGCGTCTTTTCCCACCAGGAAAACTTTATTTAAAAACGTGTTTTTTAAAACCAGTTCAGTTAATATTTTGGTTTTAGCTCGTTGTCGAACACGACGCCTTCAAATTCATCAAAGTTTTCAGGTTTGACTCCTGAGCTCCAGCTGCTGTTGTTTCTCAGCTGCGTCGTTAATAAAACATTGTTTTTTGTAATTTGTGTGTCTGCAGTCGTTCACACGACCAACGGGAACTCAGCAGGAGCTCCGTGTGAGTTCCCCTTCAGGTTCAACGGCACCTGGTACCACCAGTGTCTCCCTGACCCAGATGTCCCGGGTCTGACCTGGTGTTCCACGGTTCAGGACTACGAAAAGATCAAGAAGTGGGGGAACTGTCTAATTCCTGGTACACGGCCACTTTATGTTTATAAATGAACACATGTTAGGTTTAATTTGAACTCTTTAACGAGGTGGTCTCTGGGTCTCTGCAGAACCCGGCTGCCAGAACCTGTTCTCCGGTCCAGAAGGAGACTCCTGCTACGAGTTCGTCCCCGGCGCCGCCGTCACCTGGCACGAAGCTTTGGACTCGTGTCGCAGTCAGGGAGCGGATCTGCTCAGTCTGTCCGAGTCCGAGGAGCTCACCTCCACGACCCGTAAGACCCGAGTCCCAGAACCCCCAGTCCTCCTCCTCACCTTCATCTTCCTCTTCCTCTTCCTCTTCATCTTCATCTTCATCTTCCTCTTCCTCTTCCTCTCCTCCTGGTTTAAATTTAACAGAAACGAAACCAAAATGTTTCAAGACATTTTTAAATCATCTGTTTTACTTCAACTGTGTTTAAAAGAATAAAATAATCTTGACCCGAAACTGAGTTTTAAAGCTAAAGGAAGACAAACAGTAACTAAAAGAGCAGAAAAAAGCTAAAGGCTAGCTAAAAGCTAAAGGAAGTTAAACACTCGCTAAAAGCTGAAATCAGCAAAGACTTGCAAGAAGTTATAAGGCTAGCTAAAAGTAACAAATAGCTAATTAAACGTACGAATACGTTGGTAAAAGCTAAAAGTAGCAAAATAGTAGCTGAAAGATAAAAACAGCAAAATGCTAGCTATAAGCTAAATCAAATTTAACACTAGCAAAGATTTAAATGCTAGTAAAAGCTGAAATTGGCAAACAATAGCCGAAGGTTAAAAGGTTAGTTAAAAGCTAAAAGTAGTAAAATAGTAGCTAAAAGATAAAAATAGCAAAAGAATAGTTAAAAGCTAAATGAAGTAAAACTCTGGCTAAAAGCAAAATGCTAACAAAATGTTGAAACTGAGGAAACACTAGCTAGAAGGAATAAGGCTAGCTAAAGGGTAAAAGTAGCAAAAGTTTAGTTAAAAACTAAAAGTAACAAAAGGGATACTGAAAAAAACAGCAAAAGGCTAGTTAAAAGCTAAATGAGGTAAAATACTAGCTAAAAACAAAATGTAACAAAATGCTAACAATAAGTTTAGATTAGCAAACACTAGCTGACAGTTAAAAGGTTAGTTAAAAGCTAAAAGTTGCAAAAGGTTGGATAGAAGTAACAAAACAGTAGCTAAAAGCTAAAATAAGTGTACGGGTAGCCAAAAAGAGACAAAATGCCAGCTAAAAGCTAAACAGTAAAATTCTGGCAAGTAGCCAAAAGTAATTATAGTCTAGCTAGAAGCTAAGAGTAGCCGAATACTTTTTAAGAAAAGGCTAGCTAGAAGGTAAATGTAGCAAAAAGCTAGCTAAAAGTGACAAAACAGTGGCTGAAAGCTAAAATTAGCATAAGAAGATAAAAATGGAGGCTGAATGCTGCAGCAGGTTTTGGAGAGAACTTATCTTTTAGAAAAATATTTCTGAATAAAGTTAAATATTTAGGGAAGGATAAAAGTTAAAAAAACAAAAGTCAAAGCAGCCGACTGCTACATGAGCCGAACCTTTATAAACAGCTAAAATACAATAAATGGTAAGATGTGAAGGCAGGAAAAGCTGAGTGTTTTAATTCACTGCTTTTATCAGCTCTCTGAGGGCGCTGACCTGTTTTTATAACGGCTTATCTGAAAAAGAAGGCAGGTGAAACATTTCCTCATCGTCTGAAGACTTTCAGCAAAACTTCCTGTCGTTTCATGAGACGGAGCTTCTCTTTCATCTGCTTCCTCTTTGTTCCTCCGTCCTTCCTTTGCTGGTTCTGGAGGCATCGACTCAAAGGTTCTCCGTCCTCCGTGAAGTCTTCTGACGCTCAGAAACTGCTTTTAAAGTTTTCATCCTGAGCTGAACTTTCATCAGCTGAGGGCGCCAGAAACATTAAAGAGATCCAGGATTAGTTGTAACATTAGACTTTATTTGATAAACATTTATTTAAACTGTAAAATAAAGACTGTAAAAATACTGTAG